ACACGATAAACCATCTACGAAATTACAACCGTTAAAACAATTTCATCTGACCCAAGCATCATCAACATTACGTTGTAGTCTGTTTTGACTTCCTCCAACCAAAAATTAGGTCTTCCTGTCGCAAGTGAGGTTGTCGTTCGTCTTTGCTAGATCCTTCTAATTTGTTCCCCCTCCTCGATGTCTCCCTCTAGCTATCGCATCAACTCCCTCTTCAGATGCTCCATGGAGTGAATGTGCCAGAATTTCATTTTCATCGGAGGTTTTGTGGGGGAGAAAATAACGTAACCATCTCTGGTAAAAATCATGGGCTATGTCATGACGCAAATAACAGAGAAAAAATAAGAGAACAGTGCGAGAAAGTGTGAGGAATGACGGAGAAACAGACGAATTATTTATAAAAAATGCATTTTGCCCTAGGAGCCAAGTGAGATGATGCCTTCTCTCACTTTCAAAGTGCACGCACCATCTCACTTGGCTAAAAGAGAGAGGAGGCGCCAAGTGGGATGGCGTCTAGGGCAAAATGCACAGTGCATGCACCAACTGGGTTGGCTCCTCCCTTGTGGGGTTTTCTGAAACATGGTTATTTGCGTATTTTTCTCCGAAACATGGTTATTTGCGAATTTTTTTAATACATAGTTATTCCAAAAAAAATTCCAAAATATCATAGTCCAAGATCAACCATAATATATACAAAATAAAATTGTATTTAAAAATAAAGAAAAAGATTTTTTAAAATGGTTTTTAAAAGAAAATAAAAGGGAAAAATAGCAACTATATTCAAAATGTCCAAGAAAAATTAAATAAGACCATAGAAAAATCAGAAATAAACTCAAATATTTTTATAAAATTTTTGATAATTTTTTAAAGTCAGAAACTATTTTTAAAATTAAAAGAAATAGGCCAAATAAACCAAAAATTGTGAAAAATAGTAAAGTCTGAAATAAAAATAAAATGAGGTCACTAATATTTGTCAAGAGGTCATTGGATCCTTCCATATTTTTTTTCAGAATTTAAAAATTAAGAAAAGTATTTTAAAACATTTAAAACAACTCAAATAAAGTGGAAAAATATAAAAAATATCAAAACACAAAATAAAATTGTGAAAAAATAATAATCAGAAAGAGAAAAATCAAAAGTATTTTTAATTTTTAATTTTTGGATTTTTTGAAGTTAAAATGAATTTTTTATGAATTTTTGAAGTTTAAAACAAATAAAATATAAAATCAGAAAATAAAATAAAAACCAAAAAGATGTAGACCATTGGATGAGATTCAAAACGCGTTAGTAAGTTAATCCAATGGATCAGACGCGTTGTGCATATCACAGTCCTTAGTAAATCATACACTGAATCATTTATTAAAATCAAAATTTGAAAAAAACAAATGGCACAATATCATTGGTTGAGAGATGACACATTAGTCATCTTCAACCTCCAGCCACGCGAATTGCTGGTCTCTAAAATGGAAAAATTAGAGCTCGAGACCGGTACATTCGCTTCGTCTCTTCAAGACGATTCCAATGGTACCCTCGCGAAAAATTTATATAAGGTGTAGCTCAGTCGTTTTGGAAGGAAAGATTTGAAAAGAGATTTGAAAATTCATGGCCAAAACTCACTTCTAGTTGAAAGTAAATGTTGCGACTAGAATCAGAATGATGAGAGCTTCGTTACAGTATCAAAGTTTGAGAGAATTGGTGAAGGAATCTACCTATTGAAGTTCAAATTCAGAGCTCTGAAACTTGACTTGGCTAGCATGATTTAGGAAGTATTAGAGCTTGGTTCTTCTTATGTTAGCTTCAGTGAGGTTCAAGGATGAAGAATTGACAAAGAAAATGTATTGAGGAAAACTGTAAAATCAAATTCGAAGCTGCAGAAAAGTGGGTTCAAGAGGAAGTTTGACAGGGTAATTCTTGCTCTCTAAGCTTGAGAAAACGAATGAGGTATGACCCTTTATTTATAGGGAAACTAATGGAATGCTTAAGCATGTGAAATGATGAAGTTTGGAGGGAAATCGTGTGAAGTTGCAAACATGAAAAGCGTGACTTATATTTTGCTCAAAACTCAACTAAAACTTGCTTTTCAATGTGCTAATCACTTCTGGAAGTTATTAAACATGACTAGAAGTAAAAACACGCAGAAATTTTGTGTTTAGAGGCCAAATCAAGGATTTCAAATTCTGACTTTAGAGAAAACTTCAGTTTCAAGGTACCATCTTTGAATCAATGGTGTTTACGATTTAGGGAACCTTAGGACTTGATTCTTGATGAATTGGAAACATGATATCATAAACTTTACAATGTGCAAAAAATGGAATCAAATGGATGCCTTAGCTGAAAGTTGTGATGAGTCAAATTGAGAAAAAGATGCTGACTTTTTGTACTTCAAAAAATTCTAAGTTTTTTCTTCAAAATGACCTATAATGTCTTGCATCCAAACATGGTATTCCATTTAAAATTTTCTCTTAACCAAAAAAGATGGCATGAAGTAGACCTCTTGAATGACATTTGAGACTTGAACCATTTAAAAACTCCAAAAATTGAGAAAGTTGTGACTTGGTGAAGTTGGTGAAAATGCATGAGATGACCTAAAATTCTTTTGCATCCTTAGGGCATCTTTTATCCATTTACAAGCTTAGCACATAAAAGAAGAGTTGAGTTTCACATATTTAAGATCATTTTGGAAAAAAGTGGGCTTAAGGAGATAAAAATTGACCAAGATATGATCTTTTGAAGTCACATAAGAGAATTTGATGGCTTATCTAGAGGACTTGTAATCTTTCTTCATCATTAGGTATCTTCCACACAAAATTTTCTTGATATTTTTAAAGTAATTTATTGATAACCCTTTGAAGAGAAGCATGTTTTTGGAATCACTCAAAAATACCAAAAGATGAGCAAGATATAGCCCTTTGAAGTTCAAAACCCTAGCCCCTAGAGCAACAAAATGCCTTGTAAACTCTTCTAAATTTTAACAAACCTTCTTGCACAAATACTTTTGTCATGTAAATAGAAGTTTTTAAGGATGATAATGAGGAACCATAGCAACCACAACCACTTCCTAATATTGAGAATTGAGGGAGATACGCACTTGTGATCAAGAAATCCAAAACTTGTCCAATTAGGTCAAACTTCTTCCATCAACCCTTATATCTTTGGACTATCTTTGACAACTTGAGGCATGATGAATTATAATAGACTTTGTCATGATATTACTTCAAAATATCTTCAACGATGAAGCTTGAATCTCAATGAAGCTTTGTCGAAGAAGGCATGGAAATAAACTCATGAACTTCTAGATCAACTTGATGGAATGTGTTGTGCTTTCACCTATAATATCAACAATTAGGGCAAACATTCATTGTATTTATTAGTTAAAAGTTAATAAATACAAAACATAGATGATCACAAAATACAAGTCAAGGTGCTTGGTGATTTCTCATGAGCAAAGCTAAAGATAAGGAGAAGAACCAAACCTAGTATGATCTTGTTATGATTGAGTTGATATGATATGATAGAGGAATCTTATGGGCAAAAATTGGGGTACAACAGTTCCTTCCATCAATTTTAACTTTATTAACTCGCTAGCTTCAATGATGGCCATCTAAGTGTTGTTCGTTATGATGTGCTCCCCCGAGTCGCTAGCTCCGATGATGGTCATCTGAGTGTTGACTGATATGATGTGCTTATGCAAATCGCTAGTTCCGATGATGGTCGTATGAGTGTTGACAATTATGATTTGCTCTTGCGGGTCATTTTTCCCATCAATGTGTCCAACATGAGGGGTTTGAAATTATCTAGGGCTTTATCCTCTCAAATTTCCCCGGCCAGCGACTGCCAGTCGATTAAGTATTCCAAGTCGCCATTCTCTGGCGGGGGATGGTGTTGATTCTACTGCAAGGCGTGAACACTACCTTGCAATAATTTGTTCAGTTGGGGGCATGTTTTTCACAGTGGCTAGTAGTTCCTACATGACAACTTGTGATTCTTGATTGCTACTGCTCGTCGGAATCCTAAGGTTGGCGAGCTCGCTGGTTCATAATTTTTTATTGCCTAAGCATGTTTTACGAGAGCTCCATGGTGGGTGTCAAATGCTCACCCCAAAAAACACTAATTTGAATAACTCATTTAAAGTTGGACAAAAAGAGCCACAATGTAAATTTTCTTTATTCGATTGAGTATGTGTTTCTTGTTTGAAAACTGACCCAATTTATATTGATCTCTTTAGTTTAATGTAAGATAAGAGTCATAACAGCCATTTAGGCTCCATGATGAACCATAATAATCAGATATTCTATCATTATTGTTTTTAGGAGATATGTCTAGACACGCTGATGTCACGCGATAAATGTCTATAAAGACATATATTGGATAACTCATCTTTGGAACAACCTATATGATACCTATGCTAGCTGAGGGTTTAAACTTGTGTCATGCCTAGACCCAACCCATTATTCTCGTATCGACCCACCAATTTCTAATATCTACACAGTTCTCCAAACACGAGATTTAACGATCAGACTAATTTAACTATGTTCACCGACCAAATTCTAAATTAGATTGCAGGATATACAAAAACTTATTTAAGAATCTTAATCGATTGTATCACGATGAATATGATGTTAATATTACAACAATTCTAGAGATTGTTTTATACATAATGTGAGTAATTATTTCAATCATGATTTGAATATTGATTCGACACATTTTACTATACTAAGCATCTTCTACCATTAAACCCAGCTTAATTGGTAGTAAGAGAGTAGGAGATGCATGAAAGTCAGCAAAAACTCAAGGGATAATCATAATTGTGATTTTTCATGTAAAAATAAATAAAAATTAGGAAGACTAGTAGTAAAGTAAAAGTTATACCAGTATAACTAGTTAGTAATAAAAACGGCAATGCTGGCCTAGCTGCAGTTACAATATTGAGTAGCAACAGTTTTCAGTTTTAAGACCTTGTATTTTAGAACTAGTAACCATCGGAGGAGCACCGGGGATCAATTATGGAGTTTCACCAACACCACCGTAACAACAACAATTCATCTCCACAATGCTCCTCAAATTCCAATTCCATCTCTTCTTCCTCCTCCGTAACCACCACCACCACCACCAACAACAACAACAACCCTATGCACTCCTGGTGGGAATCCGTCTCCAAAGCCCGTTCCCGAATCCACTCCCTCGCTTCCATCCTCCCTCACCACAACCACACTCTCTCCCCCCTCGCCGATTCCGAACGCCCCGCTCTCTCCCTTCTCTCCTCCCCCACCGCTTACTCCGCCCTCTCCTCTTCCCTCTCCGGTTCCCACTCCGATCCCCTCTGTCACTGGCTCTACGACACTTTTCTCTCCTCTGACCCTCACCTCCGTCTCGTTGTCCTCTCTTTCATCCCTCTCCTCTCCGGACTCTACCTCTCCCGTGTCCATTCCTCCGATCCCCCCTCCCTCGCCGGATTCGAAGCTGTCCTCCTCGCTCTCTACGCCGCCGAAACCAAATCCAGAGCCGGTAAGCCTCTCCTTGTTACCATCCCCGATCTGTCCATTCCCTCCATCTACCATACTCCCCTCCGTAAAACCCTTTCCCCAAACCCTACTCCATCCGTCGGCGTTATCTCTCCTCCTCTCGAACCTCATCTCGCTGTTAAATCGACCAAACGCGCCTGCATCGTCGGTGTCGCTCTTCATTCTTACTTCTCCCAGATCTCCCATATGCCTTCCTGGTCAAAGCTTGAATTCTGCCTATTTGCCGCCGGTTGGGCAGGTCAGGACTGCCCCTGCCGAAGAGAATTCGACCCAATCAAAAGCCTCAACAATACTTTATCCTTAACCCATGAGAATGGTGAGGGTCATCTTGAGATTGAGGAGGTTGCACAAGCGCTGAACAGCTTGGAGATTCATCATGACCCTGATTGTGAATCTCCAAAGGGAATTACCAAAGGCCATAGAATCCCTTTACCTTGGGAGATTCTTCAACCTTCATTGAGAATTCTAGGACATTGTTTGATGGGTCCATTGAATTCTCAAGAGGTGAAAGATGCTGCTTCTTTTGCTGTTAGGTGTTTGTATGCAAGAGCTTCTCATGATTTAGTGCCTCAAGCAATACTTGCTACAAGAAGTCTCATTCAGCTTGATAACAGGACCAGGGATGCTGCGAAATCAGCTTCTTCTGCTGCTGCTTCAAATGTCAACACACCTACCAAAACCAAGAAACCGGAAATGCTTCTAGTTTCAAAGTGATGATTATAAGATAAGATATAACCCTTGCTGTATCTCTGTATAGTATATGGGTACTAGTGTTTCGATATTGTTTTATCTGCTCTAGCTTTATACTCTAGCTGTAAGCATAGTTCCTGTTTGGATTATAGATTCTTTATAGCTGTGGGTTCTTGCCCCGTGGTTATTGTTTTTAAGTTTATGTATATTTATGTTGTAGATTAGTTGTCTGTTTTAATTTCGTTTCTCAGTAAAATTATCTCGTGGTTCTGGTTGTGCTATTGTTTGATTGTAATGTTAGTGAGTTTGCCATTCTTGTGGTCTGAATCTTTGTTGTATTGTATTCTAGCTGTAAAGATTGAGGCCGTTGAATGAGTTGTTCTTTGTGAGTCATAATTTGCTGTTGGTTGTTTTGCTGCCGCGCTTGGTTTCTCTACATTATAGATGTCAGCTTGTGTTGTTTTTGTTGTGACATTTGTAGTATTTTCAAGATTCAAATGTTATTTTTTGATAATGCATTTATATTATATATTGCATCCATGTTGATGATATTATTAGTAAAATCTATTTCTCTTGTATATCTATATGTTTTTTTGATCTTGAATTCATCATAGTTGGGACCTTGACAGCATAAGGGATAACCCTATTTTATCCTTCTGCTAATGTTATATAGCCTTTCTATTCATGATGTCTATTTGTTTAGTTGGATGGAAATATGATGCATTAGAACAGTTAAAAATACGAGGACGGTTAATTTGAGTTTCAATTAAAAGAATTGCTGCTAATGAACGTAAAATACTAGTTACTTTAGGATCTTCATGACAGTAACTCTCGCAAAGGGTGTTTCACTGAATCATCAATTTTTTGCTTTAGTAATGTTTGTCTCAGGATATATTCTATTTGGGTTTGTGTCAGTCAAAATATGAACTTCTATTTGGGTTAGTCTCAGTTAAAGTATGAACCAAACATATAATAGATAATGAGTTTCGCTAACTGCTTAATTTAGTGATGATTTTGTAAGCCAGTTTACTCTTGTAAGTTATTTTCTCATCTTTTTTTCATTTAAACAAGCAAAGTACATATTTCATTATGATTTAGTTTGTTTTGAATCTCCATTGGTGATGACAGTGAGTACTAGTGACAGAAGAGCAATGATACCATGAATTATTAGTTTTATTAGCTGTTTAACTAGAACAACATTGGACGACACGATTTGGTTATGTTGTCATTGGGCATGAGTTGTTTGTTTACATGAAGAGTGTGTCTAATGTTTGTTGGTGGTGGCTGAATCTTGTAATCCGAGTCATTGTGCATTCTCTGCCATTAGAAGTGTCTATTTGATATCAGTAGTAGAAATTTGTTGAAATCAGTAGTAGAAATTTGTTGAAATCAGTAGTAGAAACTTTTAAGAGAAATGTCAATGATGGGTTGGACAGAAAACAGCAGGCAAAGCAAAGTCTTTTATGGTATTTGATATAGGATGGTATGTTACATCAATAATTTCTCAATCTGCACCATCGTGTTATCGGAAGCATGATTTTGGTGGTGTAATTTGTGTGAAATACACTATTGAAAAAACTCTTTTGATATTGTATTTAGACAGATTTTTGCAATATAGGATAGATTGAGAAACTGTTTGATACATCCTTACTTTTTAGCTCTTCTTTTACCAATAGAGCACTGAACGATGATTGATTGACTATCCCAGCAAAACTAATTATGAATCACAAGGGAAAATGGTTGAGGACATTTGAAGGAAGTACGAAGAAATGCAACACAAGTGAAAATAGATAAAATAGCAAAGAGTGAAAGAAAATTACAGACAAGAAATATTAGCAGAAAAAGAAGGAAAAACAAATCAAAGAAGGAAAAACAAATCCACCTGGGTACTTACTTTAAGGAGTAGAGATCTCTTCGTTTTTAAAAATGAGCATCTGATTATTATGAATAATAATTTGTAGATGTGATTTTTATCAAAACTGTAGGAATTGATATTTCTAACTACAAGAAAAATGAAATACAAGTAAATTATTAGATTGGTCTATGTTTTTGTAAGCTGCTCTCAATAAAAGAGTTTTTGACTTCACTGCCATGGAAAAAAAATCTCATAATTCCACAACCCGAAACAATTTTCTCAACCTGCTACACTTTGTAATATAATTTGAATAGGCGGTAAAAAAATTGAAATTAAAATATATTATTAAATATTATAATATGAAAAATAAAAAAATTAAATTAATTTTCTTCTTTCCCATTAAAGTGACTATTTGCTCCACATTGTCTACTAATTGGTACATGAAAATTGTGTTGTAGTAGGCAGAGGAGGAGTAGGCAGAGGAGTTGAAGTTGTAGGTTGATGGGAGGCGAGGATGCATTAAAAATTGAGAATTGGTTGTGTGAATGCATCAAAATTCTCGAAATCTAAATTCGTATCAAATTTGGTAGATGGCTTTCTGTATGTTTGGTTGGCCCTTTCCATGGATGGAACATAACCTTTCGCTTTATGGATAAAATATATATTCTTGTCAATTGACATTAAGTGAACAGACATGTTATTTTTTTAATAAGTATAATTTTCGTCTATAAAAAGTGGTGTTTTATTATATATTTTCTTCAGATCGTCGTCTCTCATATTTTTAAACTTTTGAATTGTTTAGACCTGATAAAAAAATCTATTTTGAAACTAATTGTTGATTGAGAATATAGACTATGAATGGTCTATTTGAATAGGCATCCCAAGTCAAAAAAATTGTTAGAAAAGGTTTGTTTCAAAAACAAATCTTTTGGTATGGCGGAAGCAAATTTTGGATAAAAGAGATTATGCATATATAGAGAGATTCACAAATGTACTTGATCAATCTACAATGTATCAAATCAAACTATTGAATTACACAAAATGTACAGACTATTTGTATTATAAAATCGTTCAGTTCCATGAGATGTGTTATTGTCTGATTTTCAATCACGTAAAAAATTCTATCATCAAAGTCTTCAGGCTTAATCCACACTGATAAAGTTGAATTATCAATTCTAACAAAATCTACATTTCTGCCATAAATCACTACTAACAAAAAAAAAAATCCTATTTGCATGTAATTATAGAAAGCAATAGAAACAAACTAATCATGCAATCAACTACGGAATTAAATGAGAGAGAGAGAGTACACCAAGATTTACAGAGGTTTGACACATTCGTCCTCTCTTTGTGCTTAATTCATTCTCCAATGGTTGTCCCTTGAAAATTTGTTGGTTTTCAAATATGATTTGTAACAATATCACAAGAGTTCGTACAATCACTCGTCCAAAAATAAAAATTGAAAAATAACTTTTTTTCTTTTCTGGATATTGACTTGTACGCATCTCTATGAATTGAACTCTATGCGAAATATTTACTAGAGATCACTTCTTGAATATTTCAGCCCAACAACTTGTTCATAAGTCTTCGTCAACGACGATTTTCACACAATTCCGCCAGTATCTTGAGCATTGGTCTATCCGAAGATCAAAAGAAACTCCTACTATGTCTATAGACTTTCACACAATACTACTTTTAAAGACAACCTAGAGAGAAAAACCTTCTTCTTTCCACTAGAATTGTCATAACCAATCAAAACACCACACACCCTCGCAAACCTCTAAAATCTTAAACAAATCTTCAAAGAAACTTTGAATCCAAAAAAGGATCCCCTCAATTAAGCACAAATTCAAAAATAAGATTTCGATCCATGCAACAATAAAAAAAGAATGAGATAAGTGATAAAATAAATTGTTTGTAAGTGTTTAAGAAATATTCAAAACTCTTTTGAAAATGAAAAAAATGTGGTTTGTGAGTTTTCAAATCTTCAATGGAAGTGTATGTTGTAACATCTCACTTTCCCCACAAGAATAATCATAATATAATATACGAAAATACATCAGAGTACATAAGTAGGATGTCACATCTTTCAAAAATTCATAAAATTTCAAATAATTTTATTACTTCATTTCTCATAAAAGAATCATTTACGCAACAGAAATATCCAATTATTCATTCTCATAGCACTACGACTTTAATAATAATATTCTCCATAAAACTCGTGGTTCAACATAAATTTGAAGTTAAGATACGTAACAAATACGACAAGTACAAAACATAAACAAATTCCAATAATATCCCGTGTTACGTGTAAGTGCCTTCGCTTAGGATTGGCTCATTTCTTGTAAAACAAATAGTAACAACAATAATGTAATGTAATGTACAATAGGAACAGCCTGAAAATCCTATTGTAAATGCCTAAACATGTTGTGTTGATTTAAATCAACATCTGGAACAACATGTCTCAAGAGATGTCATAACATCATACCAGACATCAAGCTACTGAACTGTCAAGTCTGATGCAGTTCTGTTCCTGAAGTTATGCAGAATATTCTGCCAAATAGAATGCATACCAAGTAGCGAAAATTGAAGGCATATGTGGAGCCCTAGAAGATTCAATCAGAAGCTAAGGATAAGGAGAAAAGCTCGATTGAAGACCTAACTTGCAGCAGAAGTTTTCTGCTTACTTTATGCATGTCGTTAAAGCTGCATTGTTGTCATATGAAGGCCCAAAATCCAGTTGGGTAAAGAGGGTTATAAATAGAAGTATTGTAACCTAATTTAAAAGATGCTGTGCATTGACAAGATGTAATCATTAGGGCTAGTTTTGTTGTGAACCACGCGGGCTGTGGGATGGTCACCATACTCCTTGAAACCTGTAGGTTAGAGGATGTATGCATTGTACTTGATTGAAGCTTTTAAGCATGATCAAGTTGTGTAATGGAAGTGTATCTTCTGAACAGTTTATGTACTGTAGAAAGTAATCTCTGCGGTGATTGAGGGGGAGTGAGAGGGTTCTCATATCTAGGATTGGATCTTAGGTAAAAGTGTCATTGGGTAGTGATTAAGTGAGAAGGCTGTCAACGGGTGTGTTGGCTGTAGGGTCTTTGAATTGATACTACTAATAGTGAACTTTATCCCTGACTTGGAAGCCTCCAGATGTAGGTTG